AGGTTACGAGTCTTCTTTCCCTTCTTGGTTTGCTTGTTCTGACAGGGCACTATTTCAGAACAAGGCCAGTTATGTGAAGAATTTGAGAGCATCTTTTCATCATTTACCAACTAAGCCCCCGGCGAGAAGACTATCGTGACCAAAATTAAATATATTTACCCCGTTTGACACAGCAATGTTCGCTTTACCGGACAGACCATACTTCAGAACAAGGCCGTTTATGATAAGAATTTGAGATCATTGTTTACAATAGTCAATTGCCAACTGAGCCCCAGGTGCTTCCCACCATTAATAACGTGTTAGTAAACAATCTGTACGCATTTTAGCAGAGTTACTTACGCCCAGCCTGTCAAATTGTTTGCTGCACTTTTTACTGCCTCTTTATCATTCAGGCAGTTTCCTGAACAAAACGGCTTGATCTCCCTTTCGTTGACTGTCTCTGATTGTTTTCTTTGTTGGAAGGCGTTTCTGTGAAAATGGGACAGTGAATTATGGCTGAACTAGAGTATCCTCTCTTGAGCTAACTGGTTACCTTTTTTTTCTTTGAAATTTTGAGATTCGAAAAAAGAGGCCGTCCCTTCTTCAATGGTTTCTTCGGAAGGAGAGGATACGCAGACAATGCGTGAGGATGTAGAGCATGAAATACCTGTCGTATTTTATAAAGGTAAATGCGTTTTTCAACAACTAGATTTTACTAGTCATGGATCAAACAGTAGCAGACCATAAGCAATTAAATGATCGAAGTCTCATATTCCCATTCGTATTGATTATCCCTCTCTCATTCTGCCCATTATAAGTTTAAAGTTTTCATCTTTTACGGTGATTCCTTAGTAAAAGAACCTAACATAGATTGTAGATGAAACTTGGTACACTGATGTAACAAGTCAAGATAATGATAAAAAGGTAATAAAACGTGGGGGTCACGGTGCTCGTTTTGACGTCACAATGCTGAGAAATATGGCTATTTTGGACCCTTTGTCAAAAACCGCGCGCAGCCCAAAACTAGACAAAAAGGAGAGATTTTTTCGATGATGCATGTGGTATCGCACAGAATTTGACTTTATTGTATTGTGTACCCATGCACTTACATACCAGAAAAATACTTTTTAATGCTCCTGTTTTTTTTTTAAGCTCCAAAGTAGAATTGAATTGGACACGCGCTATTCGACCCGTGATAGATCAATCCATACAATTTAGTAAAATTGCCAAAAAACTGAACATAGATTTGTGCCAATTTTTTCTCATCGAAAGGAAGCACTGTCCTTATTAAAATCATGAAATAAAAAATGGGGGTCACCGTACTCGTTTTTGCGGTAGAGCTGCAGAAAGTGCGCACCAAATGCATTTTCTCCGATATTTGAGAGAGGACTGGGGGCGAGTTTCAAAATAGAATGTATGTGAAAGGGGGAAGAAAGTATTAAAAAATCCGTTTTTACAGAATTTACATCGAGATATCACATATAGGACACAATGTGATAAAGAAAGCGTTTAAGTGAAAATCAAAGTGAGTAAGCACAAGTTAAACATCCACTATCGAGGAAGTCGAACTCAGCAACACGCGTACTGCTTACGTTATGCACATTCCCAACACATTGAGTCTCACCTCGGCAAGAAACAACCGCAAGCAAAAATTCCAATAGCATTTCTCTTCAGTCAGCTTCATTTTAATAATGTTACTTCTCATGCTTTTTTTTACGGTGGCCATCTTGTTATGCCCAGTAAGAGATGCGCAGTGCAAATCCAGGGAATCACCTTAACAGTGATTCGTTTCGCAGCTGCTAAAGGTGCGTCTTACTGTGATGATCTTCATATTTAACAAGACCACTGTTGAAATTATTGATGTGAAAATTCCAATAGTAACCAATCATTTGACAGATATTCGGACAACTGATGACAAGCGGATCTATTTAGTTTTAGGAAATTAAGTGAGCAAGTTAATGCGGCGATTGAAAGCCAAGCTAGCCTACTTTACCAGGGTGGCTCGGTTTGTCGAGATGATTTTTTTGCTCGGTGTTATACAAGACGAGGCAGCCTGGGACTGGCCAATTTTTCCGGAAAGCCTTTTTACATGGCGCCTGCAAAGAGGAATGATCCAAAGGATTTCCTTATACTTTTCTCCAGCATTTGTTTGCTCCAGAGTGTCTCTTGATGCAGTTCCAAAGGCCTGCTTCACCTCTGCACGCACTTAATTTAAAGAGTCATGCGAATTTTTAAATTTACGGCATCGCTCGCTGGTAGTGTATTTGCCGGTCAGCGGAGACCTCGGCTAACCGTCCCACTCGTTTGTCATGTAATAGCAAAAGTGTTTTTGTTACAGTTGACTGAGGGACGGTATGAGATTTCCGCAGTTTAATCAGGCTCCAAGTGAAACAATCCTAGATATCTCGATAGTAATTTGTTTTTGTTGCTGATGCTGGCAGTGGTGGACTACCGTATAAACCATAACCTCTTTCCCTCTCCCCCTTTCTTGTTGCTGTATCATCCTCAGAGAAACGCGCTCAGCCACTGCGTTCAGCTTGATTATGACTTTCATTTTGGAGTGCATGGTTTCTAAATAGCCATTAGTCTTCGCTTTTCTCCTAAAAGGAATCATCCTTGGGTTTCTTCAAGAACGTTTTGGTAACCAGCTGCAGATGAGATGGAAGAGTTGGGGGAGGGAGATGAATTCCGTCCAATTTATTTTTCTTTGATATCTTTGGCCAATCATCGGTGCTTTCCACGTATAATAAGGAGTCAGTAAAGATCTGTACAGATTTGGAAACGGCAATGAAAGTTTAATTTCAAGTTCAAATTTATTGTTTCTATGTAACCATATATTTACAATTCTACTGACTAATCGAGGCAGGGAGGTCAGTCTCACAAGTTCAAACGAAATATCAAACGTAACTCATATTCCCTTTCGTAGTGAATAAATCTCTCTCTTCGTTTTTTAAGTCTGGAAACTGTCATAGTTTAACAACGATTCTTTTCGCAGCTGCAAAATTAAATTTGCATCTATATCGGCAATGATCTTCACACTTAACGACACCACTGCTGTGAAAATTTCAATAACGTCTGTAACCAGTCATCTGATAGATGTTCAGACAACCGATAAATATGATCAAGAGATCTCTCTTAAAATGATCTATTAGGTTCTAGGTAACTAAAAGTGAAAATGTTAACACGGGGCCAATTGACAGCCGAGTTTGCCTGCTTTGAAATAAATGGCAGATAAATTTCAAACCTTGTATTGGTATTAGAGGAGGGGAGAGATGAGTTCTTTCTAATTCATTTTTCAAGCGCAGTTTGATCTTTACTGCGCTTTCTCCACTTTTGAGATAGTTTGCAGCACAGAATGACTTCTTGATGCCAAATTTTCCCATCTATTAGGTGTCTTTCATTACTTTGTGTGTTGGAAGACGTTTGATAAACATGTGTCACAAGAGGGACAGTCTAGATAAATGTGTTTATGTTTCTTTCAAAATTTTACGTCCAGGAATACAAGATGTCGCTTCTCTAACGCCTTCGTTGGAAGGAATGGAAACGCAGGATACGGATGGAAAGGGTGAAATATCTGCAGGTGCAGCTGCACCCGATGAGTGTGCAATTTTGCCAGTTCGGCAGTTTTAGGATGAAAACTTGCGTTTTTTGTAGTTATTTCTCAAAAATAAAGTTGAGAATTTTCAGTGCAGGTAGCTTCTGTATATTGCTCCTATCATTTTCAGTCAGAGCATTGAGCATTTGAAATCTTTCAGCCAATTTGGTTTAGTTTTTGCTCTGCACTGCCAAAGCCACCACTTTCTTTTGAGTGACGTCAATCACCCAATAATTTTTCTATTAGTGGATAATTGACAAATCATTCCATAGTAAAAACTTATCGACGAATTACGAACTAAACGGCTTCCCAATTTGTTCCGCGTCTGCTCGTCAAATCACAAACTGAGAAGAATTTTGAATGAATGTTAATGGTTGGTGTTTGAGAGAGGAGAAATCTGTTATTATATATCGCTAGCCAACTTTGCTCGGTAAAATCTGCTGTACGGAAATAGATGGCGGCTGTACATTTTACAACAATTCCTTTCGAACCTAACACGGCCAATTACACATAAAGTCATATTTGGGTGGGGGGTGGAGGAGGGGGGCGAAATTCGTCCCTTTGATAGCAACATTGCCTATCCTAGGTTTGAAGTTTATAAAACTTTTCTATGCGTTTTTATGAGCAATTTTATGGTTTTCATGCGCTAAGAACTGTGGGTAAATGTACCAGTCGTCATCTTTTTAGGTACGATTTGTCACCGTTAGGTCAAATAGCACTATTAATGCTAGCAGCAACTAGCGTAGTAGTCGTTTCCCTTAAGGCAAGCGGGAGAAAAGAGACGCTTTTTGCTCCTTTTGGCCCAATGCCCTTGCGCGTCTTTCGCGCTTGCCATATTCGACTGCTACGCATACTATATTACACAGTAATTTTCAAGGAGTTATAATAACTCCTCTACTGGGATCAATTTAACTCCTTACAGTGGAGTTATTTTTTGGCGGAGTTATTTTAACTCCAAACAGGAACTCTTTTTCAGGAGTAAAAATCACCTCGGATATTGAGTTAAAATAACCCCCCCAGAGGGACTTATCCTGTACCTAAAATTTTTACTCCACTTTCAGAGTTAAAGTAACCCCAAAAAGAGTAAAAATAACCCCATTTTCGGAGTTATTTTATCTCCAGACTGGGAGTCAAAAGAACTTTTGTTCAGGAGTAAAAATGACCCCAAATTTGGAGTTAAATTAGGAGTTAAAGTAACCCCATGAAAGGGGTTATCCTGTACCTAAAATTTTTACTCCATTTTAGGAGTTATAATAACTCTCTAAAAATTACTGTGTAACACATGATCTATTTATAGTCACTTAAGAGCTCTACCAGTATCGTTTTTCGTTAATTTACCGTTTAGTTATCTGCATGTAAAGTAAATCTTGATAAATTGTGTCAGAATATACAGCAACAATACGTAATTTGTTTTACAGGCGGTTGTAGATATTTGTCACATCTTCCGCGCCCTACACGAAAGTTTGTTAATCGCAAGCAAGAAATTGAAGACATTAAAAAACATCTTCTCCTACACCCAGAAAACGACTGCAGTTGTATCTTGGTACACGGTGCTGTTGGGATGGGAAAAACAGCCACTGCCATTAAAGCGGCAAATGAGATTCGAGATAATGACGATAACACTGCTGTCGTCTACATCAACTGCAATGTTGTCAATTCATGTGATGATCTTGGGGCGAAGATTTCCCAGCAAATCTATCATTTCCCTTTGAATGAGTCGACTGCAGAAGTTAAAAGGAGGCTAATAAGTGAGAAAGATCACCTCATCATATTGCTGCTGGACAATTTTCAATCCTTGGACCCCCTGCATCGCAATGAGGAAGCTAACATGAATCCGGAGATAACTAGGATTGACGAAACAGAAGAGTTAAAAGTTAAAAAGTTCATCACGGAAATCATCACAGCCTCAACTAACGTCAAGCTGCTCGTTACCTCATCAGTGTTAGCGTATTTTCCAGACACATGTCAACACATAGTAAGCCTGCATCCGTTAGAGAAGAGTGCATCATTTGAGCTTCTGAAGAACACCTTTTGTGACCGTACGCTGGACGAAGAAATTGCTTACATAATAGCCGATATTTGTGATGGTATTCCGCTCGCCCTTATTTCCTTGGCTTCTTGGCAAGACCATCCACCCGATCTTGTGCAAATGATGACCAACGCCAACCCAAGGGACAAACTCAAGAAATTTGCAGCAATTCCTAAAACTGATGCAACTAAGAAAATAGACGCGTGCCTTGACGCTTGCTTTTGCAGACTTGACCAGGATCTACGACACGCTCTTATTTGTCTTTCGCTGTTTAAAGGACATTTTACCATGTCAACAGCTAAAGACGTCTTCTGTTCAGAGGGGTTGGAAGGCTACATTCTGGAATTGGCTAATCGATCTTTCTTAGAAAGAAACACATTAGGCCCTAAATCTCAGGGCCGGTACAGGCTTCTCGGAGTCCAAAAACTCTACTGCCAAAAAAAGGCCCAAGAAGAAGGTGCAAAACAAGAATACGAGAACGGTCGAAAGCGTTTTATCGACCACTTTCTCTCTCTTCTTGAAGAGGTTTTCAAGAAGTTCCTGAGCAAAAGCGCTTTTGAAGCTTGCGATATGTTTCGTCAGGAAGTGGAAAACATCATGCAACTTCTCGACTGGTTCAAGAGTGACGTCATGGACGACGAACAAAGACGAAGCTGTATTGATGTGTTCAACAAAGCAGCCGAGCTACTTGCAAAGATGATGGGGAAGAAGCGATTTAATGCGGTTTTTAATACTCTGAAAGACAAGTGCCTACAGTTGCAAGATGGAAAAAGGTTAAGTGATTGTCTTACTTCACTAGGGATAAAAGAGGCATTCAGTTGTTTCTTTTCCCCTCATCTGTCCCTTGAAGCTGGAGAGAGAGCTAAAGATTACTTTATGAAAGCCGATAGAATCCAGAGCGACCTTCCAATTAATACCGGTAACAGCAGAGCCCAGTGCCTTGCCAAATATGGCCGTTGTCTCTCTATAGATGGCGAATTTGGCAAAGGAAAGGAGATGATTAATAAAGCAATCGATATTCGTAAGGGGCATGGCGAACAGGATAGCGTCATGTTAGGTGCAACATACAACGACTTAGCAGGTGAGCCTAAGTTCTTCCTGCACACAGGGAGTCCTCGACATCGTACCAGGGTCCTCTCCCTTCCGCCCTCGAGAAATAAGGGTGAAGAAGTTGTATCTTAGATAAGGAGGGGATCCAGAACACCGAAGGAAAGTTAGCCTATGAACAGGCTTTCTGTTTGGGAAAAGTGTGAAAAAGTCGCGAGGAGAGGGAGGGGAAAGGGTGAGAGCCTGTAGACAAACACTTTCCCCGAACAGAGAGCCTGTTCACAGACTAAAGGAAAGTTGAAAGCCTGAGGCACAAGGCGTTAAGTTCTTTCCTAGCTCCCTCCCTACAGGGATGGTTGATCCCAGCGGCTGGCTATCTTACCGTGCGGGCTTTGTCCAAACAGAATCGGTTATGAATATACTAAACTTTAACATGAAGTTTCAACTCAGTGTGATTCTCGATTTCCTATGTCTGCTAGCCTGAAACTATTTTAGCCTAATTTCATTTTAACCTTCTACAGATACAAACCACGAGCCCATGACCCAACCTCGTCCCCAGGGCGCTTTTACCTGGCTTTGGAGGTGGGACGAGGTTGCCCATGACCCGGAGTGAGCAAGAGCGGACCTTCTATTTTCGCGGGAAAACTAAAATGTATCTAAACACAAACCGGTTGGCGAAAGCGCCTCCCCCCCCCCCCCCTCACCTGCCCTCACAGGCATAGGCGTAGATAAAAGCTTTGCTCGCTCCAGGTTATGCCAAGGGCTCCTATACACTATACAAACTCGTTACATATTTTCATGATTTTCATGTTGATAATGACATGGTAATGTGCTACGTTAATTGGAATAACTTGTTTGAAAAACCTACAAGAACAATAAATCCAGCGACGAAACTGTGAATTTCTCCTGTGTTCTAGTTGTCCTCTCCCTGGAAGCAGCACATCAACGAGAACGAGAACGAGCCAATGCACTTTTCCGAGAAGCCGTAAAATTCAGAACACATGAAACGCTTCCAATATACAGAGAAAAGCTGGGCAATCATCCTTTTACAGCTACCATCCTAAACAACCTGTCCAAAAACTACCGTGCTCTGGAGGAGTTCGAAGACGCTAAAAAGTGTTCAGAGGAAGCGCTGAAAATTCGGCGGGTATTCCTTCAGGAGCACACGGAAACAGCTTTATCTCTATTTGAGGTTGCAATGGTTCTTAAGGAAACGGACGAGTTACAGGCAGCGAAAACTAACTTTGAGCAGTGTTTAGCCATGCAGGAGAAGGTGCTGGATGAGAAACACAAGGATCTCGAAAGGTAAGCAGGAGTGAGCGTAATTGACTCTACAATGCGAGCACACGCGGGGTGAGTTGAGGAAAAGGGTTCACTCCCCCCAACACTAGTCAAAACTTGCCATCGGGATCTCTCTCTTGGGTGCAGCTGTCATATCTTTTATCTTCAGGTAAAATGAACCCACCGCCGACCCCAGGTTTGTTAGCCAGATTACTATTTCGAGGTACCGACGTAAAAAAAGGACTATGTAACGTTTTTCTAACCATTTTCCTTCACTCTGTTAAGGAGTAACCTGTGTGAAAGTAAGCTTAGTCAAGTCAACTTTTGCTGCAAGTGTTTCCTGGCTTGTATGCAACCATGAAAGTGGACCTCGCTTTTGAGTCTATTTCCAGTCAAACAACACTTTATGTTGGTACAAATGAATTTTATCAGCAAGCAGAACCTTCATGAGTGGATCCAGGATTATTGAAGGGAACGCGACTGGTGTAGATGGGTCACCAAATTTTTCATCAATTAAAATTTTCTTTCGGCAAGTCCGGCAAAAGCTGCAAATCAAGGCCGGACTGGAAACCTGTAACATTGGAAACTGTCGCGAAGCCACAAAATAAGAAAAAGAAAGACTCAAAAAAGGAAACTTCACAAAGCCTAAGCGTTTCTTCCAGAAAAAAGTTAAGTAGAATGCTTCAGCGTCACTGACCCCAAAGAACAAATGAAAATGGCGGAGGCAATAAAACAAGTGTCAGCGGAAAAGAATTCAGAAGTGCTCCTGTCACTTACGTTTTAGAGCTGTCTTAGCTCGACAACAAAGATAATAGGGAACTTATAGGATGCACTGTATGGTAGGCAACTGTGTTTGAAACTTATCATCTTTTTTCGTGCTTTGGCGGTTCTAAAGGGGGGGAGCCACCAGACCAACCCGCCGCCCCATTTTTATCCTATTACCCTGTGCAGTGGTGGGTTTCCTGTGAGGAGCCGCTCCTGTTTCCTTTGTGCACGTACCGTTTTTCTGACGCGTACGTTGCAAAGCGGATGCAACAATGGAAACGAACAAAAGTGGTCTAGCCATGTTGACTAGTATACCTTAAATGCAACGAAACGAGGTATGATGACAACTTGAAAAAATGATGACAACTTGAAAAAACTGGGCGAGCATTTCAAGTAGCTCTGTAAATGGTTCAAAACCTTGCCAAAAATTTTAATCGTTTTCTCTTTCCCCGTGTGCTATGGGGGCCGTTCGGCTAAGAGACTGAAATGGCGCTTCGTAATTTTACAATTATAATTCTCGTGCTATTGATGGGGATGTATTAGACAACCGTCTGCTATTGCCCCTTTTTTCTTAGCTGTGTCATGAATGATACCTCAAAATTTTTGCCGTTTTCTTTGTGATTGCCTTTTACAGTAAAGTTTTCTTTTTTACAGTACCAAGAAAGAACTGGAAGAAGTGTGTAAGCTCCTCGAGGATCGATATCAGTAGAGGAAAACATGATGATGATGACGGAATGAAAAGTAACCTTTCTCATGCAATTTAAAATTTTGCTTTGAATGCAATTCAAACGAGGTCATTTCATTGCTGAATGGTCTCCGGTAGCTAGCCAGTACTTTGAAAGTTTTGGGCTGTGTGCCACTTTAAAATATCTAAAAACAAATTAGAAGATTTTTTTTTCATATTAGAACACGCACTGAAAAACTTTGGTGCATGTACAGAACATCGGTTGCCAGTAGTTACCAATAAAGGGGGTTCCCGCGTAGCGCTTGTGTGTGACTGTTAAAAGTGGGAAGTACGCTGATAACTGCAAATAAAACTCCGACATTTCGGCAATGCTGCCTTCATCAGGGAAAATATTTTCGCTGATGAAGGCACCATTGCCGAAACGTCGGAGTTTTATTTGCAATTATCAGCGTTTAACTTACCACCTTCCCACTTCTGTCACTAGTTACTGTCAATGCCTTTCTATAAGTGTGCTTCTGGTGTGCAGAGAACGTGGACTTCATTCAGATCAACATCAAAGAATCATTGAAAATAGATCGTGATGGTAACTTTGTAAATAAATATAGACCTGGAACCTAACCCAGTTGTTCAGAAGGTGGATAGCGCCAAAATAGCATTAGATAAATCCCTTTTCTGTGGCCGCCGCCACGTGTGAATCAATCCCTTGACGTTATTTATTAGTTATATTATTCATTTCTGCTTGCCTGCTTAAGTATAATCGCTTACTGTATTTAACCGAACATTGTATTTCTACCGAGGGAAGGACTGACAAGAGAGCCATTATCAAGGTTTAAACTCCCAGTTTCCAATATTTAGTTTGGTTTATTGCAAGTGTTTGGACAGTAATTCACACAATTTAGTTGTTTGATTTAACGAAACTGCCTCTTTTCGGTTCTCGACTCGGTAACTCATTTAAAGAAAATATTTAACCTAGGTCAGTGATGGGAAACATCTCGCGTAATATTACATATACAGCTATTTCGAGAAAGATTGTCGGAAAAAATGTGCACTCGACAATCCCGAAAGGTAATATGGGAGATGATCAATACACTGTTCCTGACGACTGTAGCTATCGAACCTACTTTTGTTGCTTTCCTTTAGCACTCGCAAACACATTTCCACGGCCTTTCGTGCCAATTCTTTCAAATTTCTTTGAAAAAAAGAGAACTCAAAACCACCCACAATGCCTTTCAGGATTGTCGAGTGCACTTTTCCCGACAACCTTTCTCGAAATAGCTGTATATTCTTCGAGGCCATTTCCAAAGCCGTTTTTGTAAGACGAGTTAGGAAAATTATCGTTTGGAAACCACGCACTAAATTGGGGACAAGGCAGCTGGCTACACCTCTGGTTTATGATCCTGATACCGAACTCTCGATTCTAAGATCCGTTCGGGATGAAGGGTTTTGGAAATGGCCATCTTTTCTATGTTGGGGTAAAAAAAAAATACAAAATAGTTGAATACATTATTTATTCTTAGAACTTTGAAAGCTAGTTTTTTCCACTATGTACTATTAAGCTTTACAGTTACCTAGAATAACACCAAGGTGCATGGGATCGGTGCTTGTACCGAAATCTACTTTATTATTACGAAGGAAAACTGCTTTCCGTGATAGGTGTTTTCAGCTGTGGAAGGGATTATGAATCAATTTTTCCAACAAATCTCGTTTGTTCAAGGCCGATAGCTTTTCGCACTTGTACGCCTAAAACTCGAATAATAATAAGTTTTCTCCAACTCATTAAAACTTAGGTTCGGCCACACGCCTTGTCACCTTTTGGTTTCTTTGTTCCAAGTTGAACCAGTTCCAAGCCGATTTCACTCACTTTACTAACTTTAAAAGTAAAATCTGTTTCGATAGAATCTCGGAAAAACTTAATACCTTATTGAACACTGAACGATTTCAATTCTTGCAAAAGAATTCGATCATGAAGGTATTACTAGTTTTGCAAAATTTTTACAGTAGCAGCTGGAAACAGTTCAATTACGGTTTCTTTTGATCCTATACTTCTATACTTGTAAACACTCATAAACACCTATTTTCTGCATATGAATCCTATTGATCTTGTTTAATAGGACGGGAGCTTCTCAGCCCTTGAATGTGGACTAGTCAGGTTGAAATCATACTGTCTGGCCCCTAGGCGTTAGGGTGCATTTCCACTACCGCCTAGTTTTCACGTACTTTACATGCGTAAGTAAACTACAGGAACGTGAAAGTTAAACCTAGCTCACTCAACTTTTACGTTTACGTGCGGCCTTTCATACGTTTTCATTCACACGCGTACGCACGTGAAAATTACGTCTCAATAACGTTGCGGAAATGGAAGGCAGTATCAATGCCATAGGAACACAGGCAAGTACCCAAGGATGAAAAACAAACTATTAGGCAGGAAAATAAGCAGTTGAATTAATAGTAAATAAATGAATAATAGTCCCTGAAATTTAGGACCAGCGTGCGCTATTTTAATTATACTTTTCTCGAGAAGTTACTGTAGGGTTGCAACTTAATTCAGCTGTTAATTTATACTGAAAAAATCCCAACTTTTCCTTGTCCAGGTTTTCAGGCTTTGCGTGTTGCATTTTATCCACGCCACATTGACCTCTTAAGACTACGGTATTAAAGAATATAAAGGATCACAGTAAAAAATCAAGTATATAGTACTATAAACAGAAGATCCATATTTTTCCTATGACATGCCTAAAACGTGTGGCAGCCAAAATGTAAACTCGCCTGGGCATGACTGAGCCAAGAACTGAGAATTTTTCCTTATTTTGAAAAACTGTTGGTTTCTCCTCACCGTAGCAGCCCTGAAGTTATAATTTGAACATGTATAGCGCTTAAACCTACCATTCTTTAGTTTTTGGTGTTGTTATATACCGGTATCTTTACCATTATTTTGTTGAGTGCCGCACAGGGCATGCAGGTGTAGTATATAGTCTGCATTATATTTTAATAGTCTCCTAAAATTGTACATAGTATTGATTAAACTCTGTGTGAACGTTTACTTTTGACACAGTCGAACCTCCCGAGTCCATCAGGGGGACACTTCTACGTTACCATACGGACACTCCCTACCTACTATACGGACACATTTGTTATAAGGAAACTTTACTTGGGTGTCAGTATTTATAACCTTTGACTCTACTCGGGAGCACGAGGGAAAATTTAATTGGGCGTCGTCCGCTTGGGCCTTGAAGACCCTATCCCTTCTCAGACCAACAAACGCAAATTTACTACCCTATCTCAGACTCATGGCCTCAATTGCATACCCCACTTCAGACCGGAAGTGAAAAAAAAAGACGTGTTTTATTTCAGTACTCATATTATTACAACAACTGTTATGTCCTCGCATAAACAAAAACTACCTAGTTTGGGTGTAGCTGGAAAGATACCGTAAAATTCCAAAAAACGGCCTTTGAAAAATATAAGCCCCGGGGCTTATTTTCGGAATTTTACGGTATAAGGCACCTAGTGGAGACACATAACCTCATCTAAGACTAAAAAGATCAAAATTGGAAACCCATCACACACCTGGAAGATGAAAAATGGAACCCCAATCAGTAGCACACACTTGTAGGGCGTTTAAAGGTAGTCTAGTCTACGGCAGAGTTCACACTTGGTGCCTGGGCACGGTGCCAAAGTACGATACTCGCTGGGCACTAATGTGAACACACCCTTTTTTGAGTACCCACGCTAGAATTCGGTCTCGTTTCCGGCCGGTGCCCAAGTACAAGGCCGAGACCTTGTTCTAGGGCACAAAAGCGGGCACCCGGGTCCCTGTGCGAAGACCGTTTTTGATAGTTCTGGGGAAGTGCAGGGCTTTGTACTCTCTGCTAAGCTCATGTTTCAAAATGACGTCTGGCAGGGCGAAATGGAGTAACTATGTATACAGTTACACATCGAGTACTCAAGGTGTGAACATAACACGATCTTGCCCGTACCCAGGCACTGGTTACCCTGAATCAAGTGTGGACAGCCCAGAAGAATTAGGTGAGAACGCTTCCATTTGTTTCATTTTTGTCTTATCACCCTTACAATATGAAATCATCAAAAGGTTTTCTGTTTCAATTCAGTCAGCTCTTAACTACAGCAAGTACAAATTCTAAGGCCTTAACAGAACAACAACAACAAAAAACAACATCATATTCTTCATCCCTAACTTAATTACTAAATTTAGGAAGAATCAAGAAATTCTAATCAAACTTCGTGACGTGTTTGAAACAATAAAAGATGATCGTTTCATCGGTGTGTAACATGCGTTCATGCAATAATGATGTCTTTCCCCTTCAGTGACCGCTCTAATGAACTTTACAGAGTTATCTTAACAGGGGCACGCAACGAGGATATAGTTAAAAACCACTTAACATAGCATTGTTGAACGAATTTTAGTATTTAAACGGTAGATATAGGCATATTTTTATCACCTAAAAACTTTTCATCTGTTCGGATTTCCTAGCTGAAAGTCTAGTGATCCGAAAATTATAGGGATCGAAACTTACCTTTTCGAAAATTTCAGCCAGGAAAAGGCTCCCGAAAATTCTAGGTGGCCTTTTTTAGGGTAAAAATCCGTTAAAAATGGGTAATTGTACCATTTTGTAGATGTTAGAAAATCCTAGGAGAGGCAGGCAAGCAAAAAATTTTACAACAAAAGTTCCGAAAATTCTAGATCTCAAATCGTCTTCCGAACAGATATTTTCCGAAAATTGCCGTTGGGTGCCCCTGTCTTAACTAAAAAAATCCTTTCTAAACTTATCGTTAACTTGTATTTGTATAATCTTCCATTGGATTGAATTATTCGATTTATTTACGTCTCTGTTGGGAAATAGATGGTGGTGCTATTCTAAAACAGGGCACTAAATTAGAATATTTTACACAATGCCCCCCACACAAAAAAAACTCAAAAGAAAGATTACAAAAACAATTTTGACTTAAAAAAGAAAGGGTAGTTGTTGGAAGTTTTTCGGCATACTGTTTTTTCATGTTGCCTGGTCCTAATACGTTATTTACAAAGACAGCCGACTTTTTAATAAAAATTCCGAGCTTCATTGAATAGCACCTTAAGCTTCGTGTCCAGTGAAGCGGCGAACAGCAACAACAGCGATCCGTTTACCCTAAGTCTGTTCTAGGCCTTTAGATTATGGAGTATGCCTACTCCCTCGCAAATTTTCTGCTCACATCCCTTTGCGAAGCCTCCGCAATCTAAACGCTTGTAACAGACTATACAGAGGGACGCTTGTTATACGACTACAGCTAGGCCATGAAAATATGGTCGTACTATCGGGGCATAGCTGGGTAGTGACTAAATTGTGATATGGAGCATTTCTAAACTATGTCAGGTATGTGATGATAAATGGAGTTTAAATTCATAAGTGACATCTTTTGGTTATCATACTTGTCGCTTGAACGCTCATAAAGGAAAAGCTTTTATGAGTACTCTTTATCAGATTGGTTGCTCTAATTATTCTTACCAGCTAAACGCTAAAAAGGGGAGAACTACCTTCTCAGGAAAAACGAGTGAATAAAAATTCTGCTTGTATTCAACTGCTCCCTTGTGGTAGCTGTTGTAATGGGATTTTGTCCTGTCTTGTTCCAGGTTCCCTTTCATTTGCTCTAGCTGGATTTTCACGAGGATCTACCTTCAGATGTGTAAGCCACCAAGTTACAAAAGACACCAAACCGTTTTGAACCAACGTGGAAATAAGGCTCTCACTAAGGAACGACTGTGAAATTACTAAGAGGACCAATATTAACAGTACAAATGCAAGAAAAATACCTGGGATAAGAATTAAAGACATCATAAATGGAATACTACATTCTGGGGAAGGGAATGCTTTGTGGAACTCGTAAGTTAAGAAGAACAGAACAGCAGAAATGGAAAGTACAGCCACTAAAACTGAAATTCCCCAAAATGGTTCAGTTATAATTCCAAGCAATATCCACAGTAAGTGGTGGCACCCCATGAATACTGCTGGGTAAAGTATGAAACAAGAAATGATATTTGTGCTCGTTGGTTCCTCATGACCCTCTATAAAGCACAAATCAATTTTTGTGGTCCTTGGTTCCTCATGACCCTTTGTGAAGCACCCAAAAAAATTTTTATCTCCAAAAATGCAGTGTATACAGGTACACCAAATAGCCCGCCGAAAAAGCACACACATCACAAATCCAAAAAATACACGCACATATACACAAGTGGAACGATACCAGGCACAGGAAATTAACAACAGACCAGAAGCAAAAACAACCAAGCATAACCACATTACTGCAACAACTTTGCTGTTATTTTTAGCCTTTTTCCAAATCCTTAACTGCACAATAAGCCACTGTGAAGCATACTGACTGACAAATAAACTAATACAGAGAATGCACCAGCATACCCAATGAAATAGCTGCTTCCATCCAGTAAAATGTGAAGCTTTGCCATGACCCATAGTAACACACTCTACTGTGTTCAGACTTGGGTCAGGACGATGTGGTAATACTGCTATGTCCTGCAACTATAAATCAGAGTAATAACGGCAGTTAAGAGGAAACAATTTCATGCATTTATTATTTCAATCTATTTAAATGCCATAACCCCCCCCCCCCCCCCCAAAATCAGTGTTGTTTATACAATACAGTAGTTTATTGACACTCCCCTGGTGGGGCTTTTCAGTGACAATGCGAGACAATGCCTATTCAAAAGATATTTATATAATAAAAACACTATATCTATGTGCATGCTCTAAAATACAACATGCATATTTAAAAGCTAAAAATATTATAAAATACTATCTAATCATTACATGCTATTTAAGAAGTCAGTTATCATTTTTTAAAAGTACTGTGAAAACTGTAGAAGAAAGTTTTCTTCTACAATTTTGACAGTACTCTTAAAAAATGATAACTTTTGTCCCTTATTGTATATTGTACATTGTGTTGTTTTGTTTGGGGTTTTTGGTTGAAGCCGCTCTCCCTCCACTCCTCTGAAAATTCTAGTTTAGGCTCCAGGCTTACTTTTAACAAAGGATTTGTTCCTGTAAGAAGGCCCCCCCAGATTTCTAGTGACGCTCCATGGTGGGTGCGGTGGATACTTTTTGGAGCTACCAATACAGGTTTCAAATGTCACAGATTAAAACCACAACAACTGTACAAGAAAAGCACTTGGACAATAAACAATACTTGCACTTACTGCATCTTGCAAGCTATTATGCAAGCGTATCCTTTTGGATACCGTAAATGACCTAATAAACACCCACTTCCAAATACCTCTTTTCTAATAAATGCCCCCTCTATGCTGTTAAAATTGTATCAGACACCCCTTTCTAATAAATGCCTTAAGTCTAATAGATGTCCCTTTTGAAAATTACTACAAAATACAAGGAATTAGCAAAAAGGAGCAAAATCATTCAATTTATTCAGTTTCTTGCTTGACTAGCAAGGCTTTGCATATTTCATCTTATTCAATGTCATGTTCAAAGTAAGGATAGACTAATGATGGCAGTGACAATAACCCTGAGCAAGGATTCTGACATCGATGTTGGGATTTGAAAGTGCGATCTGGATCTCTAGACAGCCTAGACATATCAGTTGATGAAGTGAATATTTTTAAACTCTTGAATGCATATTAGGTAGTTTTCTTGAGCTTGTTACAGTCATGAAAATAAAATAATGCCTTTCTCTACTTTAAAACTCCTGCTATCTAATAAATTAATGTCCCTGCTTGAGCCCTGAAATTAAATAGATGCCCTGGGTGTTTTTTGGGTCATTTATGGTGCTTTTCCTTTGGTAGTTTGGTAATTAAATATACATTTTCTGCTTTGCAATCTGACAATCTGGTTTTCCACTAGATTGTAAGAGAAGGAACCATAAGGGTCAAAAGACAAATTATAAATTTCTAGTTCTTCTTTTGACTCCAATTCTGTTGCACTTTACTCTGCTTACAACTTCGATTTTTGATTTTCACAAGGTCATAAGTACTCTTACAACTCAGCTTACAATTCTGAATCTGACTCTGTCGCTTGCAAAAACCAGCCTTTTTTAAAGTAGACACATGTCCCTTCTCAAGTTTATTAGGAGGCTGCTCAGTTTTCGGTTTGCAACCAGACATTGCAAATTGGCCGTGTTGGTGGCAGATAATATAGAAATTCTTGCTTTCTCAGAATTTGCATGAAAATAGAGTTTAGTTCCCAGTGGAGGAAATCACCTTTGTTTTTCACCACCAATATGGCTGCTGTGATGTTAGGTGTAAACCAGTTTTAAGTTTTGAGGCTTTATATTAACCTAATAGAGGATAATTAATTTAACGGTGTACCAGGGATTTGTTTTATGAACATCTATAAATACACTGTCGAAAACTCCTACCGTGGAGAGGAAGTAAATCATAGTGTCACTGGAAAATCCCTTGCAAAACTGTGGCAATGTTAAGTGTAGCTGCCTTTCTCGCCTGTTTGGATAAATGGCCCACAAGGAAAACACATTCATGGAAGTCAAGCTTATGTTTCCTCCACTGACATATAAACAGGATACACTCCACGTAAACTTGAATGTCCTGGTCTCATTTTCCGTAATTTGGCGAGCGTCTGCCCTTGCTGTACTACTATTTGTGAGATTGAATGTTCTGGTCCCATTTTCCGTAGTTTGGAGAACGTCTGCCCCTGCTGTACTACTGTTTGTGAGATTATGATCCGCTGTTGGCAGAAACTTAACCGTGATCTTGATCAACAAGGACGGTAGATCCACAGAGGGATACACAGCCTTAGAAATACTGTAGTAGTTATCAAATGGCGGCTCCGATGAAATCATATAACGTTGAATTTGGTCCTCCCGTCCCAAGCAAGTTGCAGACAGCTCCTGTGCTCGGAGTATCACAAAAAGGAAAGGAATGTGTGAAGCCAAAGTCACGGCTAAAGCCATTTTGAACCTTCTTCCGTTTTCCTCGAAGATTGAATTTTAGTGCCTCAGCCTGGGAAGCCCTTGGACGTTGAAACTGACAGAGAATTGGGGCGAGCCACAAAAAAAAAAATTCCAGGGGAGAGGAAGACGGGTGAAAGTAGGCTCGACGTTGAGACAGGGAGGGGTAAACGCTTGCTCTGTTCAAACGAAGCTCTAAGAAAGTCTTTGTGGGAGGTTTAGGGTCGTCTGCTTTAGGCTCCGGATGGTGGAGAGTGGCGCGAATTTTCTGCCCACTTTTGCTTGCGCCGTCCCCACTATCTGAACGCCTGGAAGGTTCTCGTTAGGTGGCAGGGGATGGAAAAACAATTCTTCCTCACGGCAGGGTGATGCTGTGTACAGCCGCCCCCTCCCCTCAAGGAAGGGGATTGCCGCTCACAGGCTATATCAGAGTGCTCTAGAACAGGGTACAGTCGAAACTCCCATGAGCGACCAACCAAAATGCAAAGACTTAGTGGTCGTTTACGGGAGGTGGTCGCTTACAAGAATCAAACCACAGGGGGCCTCTTCCAAGAAGTGGTCCCGGCACATCTGCTGTATGGAAAATCATTTATTGCATGCAATTTCTAAGTTAGGCCATGTACAGTTCCATGTTGTTACTAAAGTTCTTCGTATATTCAAAGTAGCACAGTGCACACAGAGAACAAAGAGATAAGAGAATATGTCAAGTGGTTGCTTACAAGAGGTTAAAAACAATAGAAAATCATCAAACTTTCAGGCCCAAAAAGTGGTCTCGGTCGCTTACGGGAGGAGGGTCGTTTACTAGAGATTCCAACTGTAAGGCTTTGACTGAGAAAGTTTTGGTCTCTTATTAAACGGGATTTGGTTGCACATACTCATCTTAAACCTACCTGGGTACCCCTGCTTGGTAGGCCTTAACTTCCGGGCACCACCTCGCTTTCGGGTTTCTCTCCTGTGTTCGAATGTCCAAAATGGCTGACCGGAGACGCAAGCCCAGTCCGAGCTCACGTCTCCGGCAGGGCCAGGAGTATTCTCGCGATGACTTTTATAAGGCCCTATATGCCATCCGGTTTGATCGCCATACAAAAGGGATCGCATGTGCGGTTAATATCGACGGACAAAACATCGACAAAACAACAAATTCTACACTGTTAATCACATGGAGAGAGATTGGGCAAAGTAAAGATTGTTTCATGGACCGCTTTTCAAGAAAGAACTTTGGAAAATACCATCTCCGACCCCTCAGCATCTCATCGAATGGATATTTTTCTTTCATTCGGGGGATTCGCGAAAAAAGTAGTCTCTGTTGGGATCTCGTGTGTCTTGAAATGAAGTACTTGGAATCAGGGGAACAAAAGACTAACTTCCAGGTTTTTACAATTACAAATAAACTTATACCGTTGGAGCTAACGTACAATGAAACATCTGGAAATCACGAACTTAACATTGATAAAAATCTGTTCGATCTAAAGTTGTGCGGAGCTCCAATTATTGCTGAGCAGAAATATTTTGTGGGAGTTTTAAGGAAGGATCCGGATGATGCAGACAAATTCATTCCTTGCTTCATATTCAAAGGAGTATTTGGTGAGTGACATAATAATGGTAACAACTAGTAGTTACAAGTTAGTTAGTGGTCTTTAGTGGAATAGTTGAGGTGATCTGCTGGGTACGTACCCAGCGTGCAAAGAAAGTCGTGTATGCATATGATGGCCCATTATTATCATAGAAAAACTAACTGGACTATTTATTTATGACTAGTAATAGTTGACACTACAGCTGTCCCCGCTCTGTATATTGTCGGTCAATAGCATTCTTGCTCGTTGTGTAGCTCTTTGGAATATACCGATTCATAATGAAGATTTTCACACATATTCCATACAATACGTGAGATAAATACAGGAAACGCAAGATTCCATGCACAGTTTCAGTTCGATTTACACAGCTTTGATCAAAACATTCCCAGTTTCGCGGAGAGAATAGGTTATTCTAAACCATGAGAAAAGATTTAATTAGAAGTTGAATTTTTCGCTATTTCTCTTTCACTTTGCCGGAACGTAAGGCTTGGTTCAAACGTCGAACTTTACATGTGCCGAACCTAATTATTGGGTTCGGTACGTGTAAAGTTCGACGAATGTATTTGGATCGACTCTGCCGTTCTATTCGACTGCGCTTGTCGAATAGAACTTCGATTCATACGTCGAACTTCACATGTGCCGAACCTAATGCATAAATTTTCAATAAAACCGCGCGTGTGATTGGCTATTTGGTGGGTTTTCGCGCCTTTGCGGACAGAACTCACAGAAGCGTAACGACGGTTACCAGCATTCGCGTTGTAGATTCTTAGACTGAAACTGGACAGCTTAAAACGGTCTTTTAAAAAGTTGCTTTTCTTTATATCCATAAAGAAATCGTTATGTACTTTAAAATTTATGGCGTTACTTTGTTTAGTCCAAATATCACGATCACGATTTCCTCAGCTGTCTCCTTGCCATAACAGAACACAAATCACGCTAAAATCAAAACAAGAATATCCAGGCTTGGTGACTTTTACTTTTTTCAGTAAATTTTACTATTTTAAGCAGAAAGGATGATATTTCTTTTCGCCACGAATTAGGTTCGGCACATGTAGAGTTCGACCGTCTGAATCAACAGTCGAACTAAAGGTATCTGCTCCAGCAAATTTTGCCCATTTTGGCATCATTTTTAGTGGTTTATACTTTATGGTTAAAATCTATATATCACTACATTGACAGCATTCCTCAGTTCTTGAGGAACTAAAATATATCAAAATAAACTATGCCATGTCACCCAAAAGGTGTTTATAATTTAATTACCCCCTAGGGTGGCACGGAAAAGAGAAAAATTTCAGAAGAATCCTTAGAGTTATTGTTAAAAAAGAAATGAAACACAAATAAGGACGTAAGATAGAATAATACTGTGTTCGACCACGACACAGCTCCAATTATTCCACCCTCTAGGGCACAATTTGCTATTTTGTAATTTGATCCACATTTTGACATCAATAACTCAGCTGTACGGCGATTCTAACCTTTGGTCGAACACAGATCTCTTCATTAACATGCTCTTTGTGCATTTGCCAGATTTCATGAAGAAATAAGAATCCATTCCTCCAAAAAAACTGGTTCCCGTAAGTCAAAGTAAATCGGTCACGCGGTAAATAACGCTTTTCCAATGTAAAAAAGCTTATTTTTTTCTCAAAATCAACTGTTTTTCCTCGATACTACCATCCTTCTAGGCCGCCATTTTGAATCACCGCTGTGTAAAATGCTTGTGGAACCCTAAAAAATGCCAGATGACCTCTCTATAGCCCCCTTGGATTTTGATACGTGACCAGTTGCTAGGTGTGACGCATTTCCGGAAGATGCGTTACTCAGTGTCAGTTTGAATGCAACAAGGCGCGCCGACGTATGAATTTTATTCAAAATTGAAAAGAATTGATTCTGTAAAGTGAAAGAAATTGGCAGAAAAACAGACCAGAGGATCAGGGGCCAAGAAAACGTTTTACTCTCCTTGCAAAATTGTCATAATATATCACGTGAGAAGACACACCGATGTAGACCGATGTAATATAAATTTAAAACAATAATAAGCCCCGGAAAACGGAGTATATTTCAAGAACGTAACAAATATTGACCAGAGGCAAGTAATATTAGTCATCACAGCTTTAACAGAAGCAAGAAAAATCAAGTTGGACATTCAGCGGCTGTAGTTTGTCAATGAATCTAAGCAGTTAATAAATTTTGTTGAGCGCATCAATAGAACTTGATGATGAAAAGAGGAGTCAAATTGCGCTCCTGCCGTCTTTTTTCTTAGTAACGGAAATGAAAATTTTTCTTTAACTTCCGGTAAATATAGATCAACTTTAGAGTAGATTTTATGCGAAGGTATATTCGAAAAAGAACACCAGATATGCATATTACATCATTTGAACTTACTATAGAAAGATTTTGAGGGCAAAATAAAATGTTGAAAATTGCAGGTGCAGATAGTTTGGGTCGACCTAAGTAGGTATTCGGTTCGGCACATGTAAAAGTTCGACGTTTGAACTGGGCCTAAGCCTTAGAAATTAAATGGACGTTTGATCAATTCACGCTCGCTCATTCTAGTCTTATTTTAAACTTTATAGCGGAAGGACATCTGTGAGCAGGGAATAAGTCAGCACAGAATTTG